GTAAAATATCTTTATAAAATGATCTGTTAAAAAGTTTAAAATTTATAGATAAAATTCCTGATCGTATACGCATTTACAACAAGATTGAGTTTGTTTTATAACCACTTCCGCTTTTATGACCACTTCCGCTACGAAGATCAAAAATACTAAAAAAGATCCACATAAATAACCGATAATTGGCATAAACTATAAAAATGTCGTATTTTAAATCAGAAGAGAGTGCTCGTTCTTTTTAAACTATTAAATAATTACAATTTTTCAAATATTTAAGAACACTCTAATTCGCAAATTTATGATAACCAAAAATGATTCCACAAAACATTTGGGGCGAAATTAAAAAGCAGCTTTTCTCTTCCGTTTGTTTCATTTCAATCCGCTAATCGGCAATACGATTCGTCGATTTCAAGCGGATTGCATGTTGCAATGACATGTGAACAACATGGAGCGATTGAGTACGATGCACCTGCGTTGTAAACGAATGGTGACAATTCGATGGCGACACTTTTAGGATTATCACGAGCGGCGAATCGCACCGTCACCGGCGATAATAATCGCGTGCGGGCGTTCGTGCTGCGCAAGCGATTATGCGAGCAATGATTCGCGTCAGGACCGCCGCTTATGTCACAAATGGGTCCGCATGGACGCAAGATGACGAGAACGAAGTGAATGTCGGCTCGTCAACGATCGTCATCCCGCACGTCACGTCCGGAACGCCATCCACGCGCCTAATCCACGCGTTTCGCATGCGATATCCAATCTGATACATTGGCCTTACGAAACATACGGCCTTACATTACATACTATGTCAAAACATATGAAATAATCTTAACGCTTTATCCGTACGATAATTGTACGCAAATCGTATGTTCCTTCGGAAATTATAGCACGCAAATATTGTTAAAAAACCAAAAAAATTGACTTACCAAAGAAGTCCCATCAGTCGTGATTTCAACAAATTCTGCAACCTAAACACAAAAAAAACAATACGTAAAATTGTATTAATAAATATAATAAATAATAAAAATTTTAATGGTTAAATAAAAAAATGGCATAACAAATATTGATAATTAGTTAAAATTACAGTTCTTTTTGTTACATAGAACTATGACCCTTTGATAACATGTATGAAGATCAAAATGATTAGACCTGATTATGTAATTGTAAATAATTATCAACGCAAAGAAAAGAACTATCATCTATTAAAGCTAGATTAAAGTTTGGATTAAAAACTTTAAATATCAAAAAAATTGAAAAAGTAAAATTTAAAAAATTAAAATTTATTATTAAAACTATCAAGTTTTAAAAAAATTTGTTTGGAATATTATTTTCACATTGTGGCTTTATTTTTTCGCAATTGATATTTTACACGTTACTGTGTAAAATATATTTTTACATTAAAATAATAAATAATGATAAATAAATTTTGATAAATATAATAATAGTCTAGTTGCACAAAATGCAACAATTTTGCATCTATATTATTTTGCATCAATTTTGCATCTATATTATCGCTAAAAAAAATGTCCACTTTTATAATAAATTACTTACCGTAACGTTAGTTTGTTGTCGCCCGATGCCTCCTAGGCTTCCTCCTCCTCTCAACGATTCTTCAAGGCACACTAAACACTCAACTCACACTAAATTCACACACATTCGCGACACACGCCTTGCTCGCGTGCGTACCCGAACATGAAAATCGCACGGTACTTTAAACGACACTCCCGACGTCGCAGGCGAATCAAACCAAACTGTTCAAAGTGCGACGTTACGCGCAAATCCCGTCCGCGTTTCAGACGACCACATTTACCAATTGGGGCACGATTCTCTCAAAACAGAAGGCAAAGATAAGCTCGAAGAAGATGAGGTGATTAGTCATCCAATCAACCGACTAGATACAAGACATCTGAAAAGCAATCGGTAGCGTTTGACTAACTCCGGTAGCCGTCCTCGACTACCTTCGACAGTCCGGCTATCTGTACAACTAGCGCGCTGCACGTAGAACCGAAGATTGCCCTGCCGTAGTGGAGATTTTATGATTGAAACCGACCTTTCCCTCCCCCGAGCCAAGCCTAAAGTCAAAAAAAATCGTGTCCCAATATTTGTCATACAGCAAAAATGCGTTCATCTATAGATTCGCTACAACTCTCGGTATTAACGGCACTCCCGACGCGCATTTTGTTATACTATACGACGGAACGAATATATTTTGTAGCACCGATTACGCGCACAAAGTTGATCTGTAAAATAAAAAAATAAATGCGGATTAATGTTTGAAATAATTAATATTTATAAAATAATTACTGTGCGCACATTAAACTTTATATTCGTTTATTTATGCACACGTCTAAACAAAGAATTAAAATTTTCAAACATATATTTTTTGAATAAAGAAAAAAGTTTAATTAGTTGAAATAATAATATGTAAAAAATTTCTAAAAATGGTAAATATTAATTTACTATTATAAATATTTTACTAAATATTTAAAGTATTTTAAATATTTTATATCCGCTACATTATATAATATTTTATATGTGATATTTTGCAAATAACAAATAAATGAATTATTGCTTACCGTAAAGTTGCTCCGCCGCACAGTGGGGCCAAACGACATTTTGTGTTTCAAAAAAGGCTACAGTCTCGAAATGTTAACCGATTTCGATGCTTTTTTTTTAAATGAAAGCTAACAAAATTTGCAATAACTTTGTGGAGGTAGATTTTTGTTTTTTAGTTTTTTTTTATTATTAAATTACACATAAAACAATTAAATTTGTAAAATATAATGACTGAACAGCAAGTAACTCTTCAACAGTAAATATTTTCTGTAACTTAACATCGGGCACTGATATAGTTGAAATTAAACATTCAAATCCTGATTTAGGAACCATAAAGTTTGACCTAACTTCACAAAAATGTTACCTTAACAAATAAAATTGATATGATAAAAATAATATAAAATTTTAATAAATTAGTAAATTAGTGAATTAATTAAAAGTAACACTAAATTATTATTATAAATTCGTAACGAATGGAAGCATTTTCCAATTCCAATAGATGCGGAAGCTCAAAACTTGTTGCTTGACGAACAATAGTTATTTAATAAGTACGAATTTATAATAATAATTTAGTGTTACTTTTAATTAATTCACTAATTTACTAATTTATTAAAATTTTATATTATTTTTATCATATCAATTTTATTTGTTAAGGTAACATTTTGTGAAGTTAGGTCAAACTTTATGGTTCCTAAATCAGGATTTGAATGTTTAATTTCAACTATATCAGTGCCCGATGTTAAGTTACAGAAAATATTTACTGTTGAAGAGTTACTTGCTGTTCAGTCATTATATTTTACAAATTTAATTGTTTTATGTGTAATTTAATAATAAAAAAAAACAAAAAACAAAAATCTACCTCCACAAAGTTATTGCAAATTTTGTTAGCTTTCATTTAAAAAAAAAGCATCGAAATCGGTTAACATTTCGAGACTGTAGCCTTTTTTGAAACACGAAATGTCGTTTGGCCCCACTGTGCGGCGGCGGGATGCCCCCGCAGGAATCGCTTCGCTCGTGCGAGACTGTACGAAACGATGCCGCGAGCCAGGCGCTGTCTACGGACGATATTTACTCGTATTCGGGGCGGCTCGTCACTTAGGAACACATTCCTTCCATCAAAGAGACGCGCGTCTGCTCGATGCATTATGTTAACACAGAGATGTGGCGGTACGCAGGTATCTCGATGCGGTGTCGCGTTTACATAGGCGCGCGCGCGGCAATCGGCACGGACCGACCGACGCTTTCGTCTCGCCCG